GAGATTTTACTCACAAAATCTTTAAATTCAAAACTTCAAAAAAAAAAAATCAATTAAAAAAAATTTCTTGAAGGGAATGAAAAACATTTCCTCAGCCGGAGAGGCACCACCAGAAAAAATGCAGACAAAGCCATTCAAGGAACCTCAGTTTGAAACATTTGTTTAGCTTGGCCATGAGAAGCAAGGAGGCAACAAACAAACAAAAAAAACTTGGGGTCTTATGGTAATGGCAAAACGGCAAGTCATATATAGGCATCAAGCTCGTGTTTTCGAGTTCTATTGATTTGATTTTGGTGGTAAAATCYATCTTGAATTGTTCAAGATTTTATTGCTACCGTTTTTAAATCATTTTTAATWCTTTTTATCAATGGAGYAAAAAAGTTGTWATATATAGATCGTCTTGTGATGTGTGTTTCTTTCTAGTATTTGAGAATGAAAATTGGACTATGTTTGCTCATGTGCACGAGTCTTTTTATTAACCTTCTGGTTTCTGTYATTGTTACTTTATGATAAGTTCTTCTAGAAACTTGTTTTTCTTCTCTTCTTGTATCTGAAATTTGTAACCGTCCTTTTTTTTTTAACAAAAAATTTGTAACCGTCCTTAAAGTGTTTGCTCCATGAAAATTTAGATTCATTTCTGAACGTAAGAGACTTCGACTCTCATTCATCGGAGTTTGATAGACGGAATTAGTTGATATTGATATCGACGATGGTGAGAAGCGATGAGTGAGCAACATGCTGAAATATATGTTAGCGACAACCAAATTTTTTCACTCTCTTACTTAATTTGTTTTAAAATATAACTGAAAATATTAATAACATCGTGAACTAACCAATAAAGAACACAATTGCTTACAAAAGAATACAACATGTTGTCAAAGCGAAAACTCGCTTTAACGTTAGTAATAGTAACTATTAAGAAGCTCGTACAATAAGACAAACCTGGAAAAACATTTCTAAGCCGGTTAATGAGTCTATATATAGAAACTTATCAAAATCTTGTCCAACAAACGAAAATTTGACCGTTATAAACTCGTTTTCTTTGTTGTCTCCGAAATTCGGAAGGGTTCATGTGTGTTCTCTCTAGGTTCCATACTTCCATTAAACTCGTTTATGTCACCGAAAATCCTCTAGCAATACTTAAATTAATAAAAAAAATGCAAAACCATTTTATTTCATCATATATCTGTTAGAATTTTTACATCGACAATTTATATAATTAAAAACTGACATTCTTTTCTCAACATTGGGCCACAATTAGCCGGCCCATTAGTTTACTTTCTATATCAACAAAAAGCGTCATAGCGGAATTCGGTCCCGATTATGATAATATTTATATCCAGTAAATTTACAACTGTCACTACGTCATTTCACAACTATTACAACTGTCATTACGTCATTTCACAACTTAAAATGGAACTCTATCTATTTGAAATGGAATGTTTGGATTTTCTATCTAAAGTAATTGTGTGTGTATTAGATTATTATCTGTCACTAAATCTGTAGTTTAGTTTTTTCTTAAAAATTGATTTATACTGCTTTCTAATAAATTATAAAAAATTCAATTAATTATTATTGTTTTCCAATAATTTCACCTTATAAAATTAAAATGTTACTAACATAAAAATATTTACACATTCCAAA